GGAAGGATTTTACTCAAGTTTAAGTGGCTTTTATTAAGCTTCTCGTTTGCCTAATGAGACTGAGTGGAGGGGTAAATGAAAGAGGAGGAGGACAGCCTTCCAGCTTGCTTCTCTGTTTAGATATTGGTAGTTCTGCACTCTGGGATGTTCACCTGAAGGACGTCACAGGACTCCAGTTCAGAGCCTGAATTCAGCTGGGGCACTGAGGTCTAGTTTTGGACCTTTCCCTGACACAGAAGAAGGTTTTCTCCAGGTCTAAGGAAAATAAACAATGGCCTCTAATAGATGCCAAAGATTAAATCTGAAAAGAAGGGAAGATTTCAGTGCACCGTTAAATGAAATATCACAGCAGGATTCTCCCACAGCCACCGCAGCTAACTACTGATGAGCGTTTCTCAATCACTGTTTTCAGCAGAGCCGCAATCTTAAAGCAAAGTAATCACTCCAGTCTCATTTAACTAATAAAGGCAATGTTTTTCTCCTCTACTTTTCCCCATCCTACAGGGATATTGTAGAGGCCCCCTGCTTCACATTACCCTGATGGTGGTTAGGACATCCGCGTTCCAGCTTTGCACTCCCAGCCAGCACACGTGCACTGAGCATGCGGCACTCAGAAGAAAATGTGGATGTTCTACATATGTAAACCATTTCTCTTCCTTCTGCTATATTTGTGGGGGGAGGCTGGAAGTGGATAAACCCTGGAAAAAACCCTGACTGATAAAATCATTGCTGCAGGTTAAGACAGCAAGCAAGGGAGAGCATCGTATCTACTGAAACCGAATAGCAGGTGGGCACAACACACCCTCGACAGTATCACTCCATTCGTAGATGCTGTGATGCCTGAGACTCTGTAAATACACGTGTAGACAAACAGACACAAGGACTGCAGTTTCTATACAGAAAAGTGTTTAATCTTGGATCCAGTTTCATCATTAGCTTGGATTTCCAGGCTTAAAAAAGATACCTTCCTTCAGCTTGTCATGAACAAAATAGTGACACTCATGACATATATCCTAAGACTACAAGTAAATTGGTTGTCTTCACTGTTTCCTGTGGTAACTGAGATCTCTTTATTTTATTTTGTCAACGGCTAGAGCTCTACAGATTTTGTTTGATCTTCCTTATATGTTAATAAATGCAGGAGTTAAGAAAGGCTATATAGGCTTTTGGGGCTAATTTTAACCAGTCATTAATAGCACAAATGTGGTAAATAAAAACAGATGATACAAAAGCAAGACAGTCTTTTTGTTAGAAACACTAGTTCCGTCTAAAAACCTGGTTATGTTCTGGAAAAAATGTCAGCGCCAGCTCCCTGTTTGTCATTTCAGTGACTGGAAATTCCAGACTGGGCTGGTTCTGCTTCTAAGTTAAAAGATGCTTTTATTTTTTAAAACCTGTGGACAACCACACACTCAACCTGGAATTTAAAAATTCAGCTAGGCTCCTGCCAGAAACAAGCAAAGACATCGTGCTGCTGAATGCAGTCTGTGTGCCCAGTGCTGCACTGGTGCTGGATGCCGCCTAAGGGGGTAACATCCAGATGTGGCAGTGACCGAGGAGGCAGGAGCCGCACACTTTTTGGACTAAGAGAAAATTGGATTTGTATCTTAATTTTGAGGTGTGAGCCCCTGCTTGTTACCGTGCTGAGAGATGTTGATACAAAGCTTCGGAGATGCATAGGCTGAACTTCAGAGAGAGCTATCATCCCCATCTGCTGGCTTCAGCTGGCTTTCCACGTTTTCAAGATAATTTGGCTTCGAAATTGCTCCTCATAAGACTTAAGGAAGGACCTGTTTCATTGAACTCCAAAGCTACACCTACGTGAATGCAGGCATGGATCTGGAAACCTTAAAGAAAAATATATGAAAAACATCGAGCAACCAATGAGTGTTTCAGGCCATTTTTACCAGAGGAGAGGGACAAGAGACTCACAGGAACAACTCAGTGCCTAGACCCTCTGAGACAAGGGAGTTGAGGGGTTGCACTGCAGATTGGAAAGTCCTTCTGAGAGAGAAACACTGTGTTTTTGTCATGTTGGAAGAAGAAAGGCAAACAACATGGACTTCTAAGAAAAACAAAAGGAAGCGTCCTGGTAAGTGGAGGCTTTGCTAGGATGCATGGTGAATGCCATCCAGAAAGGATGCATCCAGGACCTTACAAGTCCAGAACTCTCTGTCATTCCAGACATTCCCATTCCAAACCTTTGGCTCCAATGGCATTGCTTTACTCTCTTCTCTGAGAAACTGCAGTAACGCTTTTATATGAAGACACTGTTACGCTGCCCTCTCATAGCAGAATTCCTATGGAATGAGATAATACATCCAGGAGGATACCGGAAGGATTCAGTCGTGTTTCATGTTATTACAGTGAATATTAAAGAGATTCAATCATGTTTTACCTCTTACTACAAAGTGTTGCAAAAATTTCTGCTATATATATATTTCACTGCAGAAACTGTAGGGCTGTATAAAAAAGCTGCTTCTGTCTTACTGAAATCTATGAGCTACGATTGCACCTCAGGGTCTCATACTTCCTATATTTAACACTCTCCTTTGGTTCAAGAAGCAGCTATTATCACTCTTTTCTTAAGTCAAAGCTTAAAGGTGAACTGAAAAGCTTTTAAAATAAATCAGTAAAGCTATTCTCAAACCTCAGGTTGTTAAGGGCAAAATTTGGATACCCTTGCTCATATAGAAAAGTACCTTTCCCTTCATTTTCTATGGGTTCAAGCCACATTGCTGATACGCTTCAGGAAGTATTGTCTTATTTCATGGGAATTCCTTAGTGACAGAGCAACATATAAAGATTTGAGTTTAATTCTTACTATGGCTTCTTACTGGAAAAAAAAAAAAGATCTATTCAACTTAAGCAGACATGTCTGAGCCTGCTTTTAGAGCAATTCAAGATGCCGCTATCTCAGGAGGTTTCTCTCTTTTGAAAGGAAAAGAGAAAAGAGAGAAAATCTCCCCCCTTAAGTACTTTTTCCTTTGGAACCAAGAGCCCACAGCCATCCTCCTCGTACACTTGCCTGCTCTCTCTGCATTCAGCCAGCGAGAGCTGAAGACAGGCCAAAACCCGACAGCAGCTCCAAGAGCTAAAGAAAATGCTGCCTTTGCAAGGCTCGAACGAGAGCTGACCAAGCCAACCCAGAAGCTTCCCTATGAGTTCTCTAAGCTCTGGATAAGATCACTTGATGGAGCTTTCTGTATGACTGCAGCTACTTCATCAAAAGCAATGAAAATCTAATTGGCTTCATCGTAAACTGGTCTGGGACCACCATTTCCCTTTCAGCTAATGGGGAATAAGGTGTTACAAAAATTAAGTAAATAAATGAGGTCACTTATTCAAAGCAATGTATGGTACTGTGGGATTTTTGGTCCCTTACTTCCTAGTATCTTGCTGCAGCCTAGGAGATGGCATTTTACTCTCCAGCTCATTCCTTTGAGACTGGGGGGGGTCATGCAGTGAAGGTATTACCCATGCCCTGCTAAAAAAAAGTAAATTCCACTCCCACAACACGCAGAAACCCCGTGCATGAGATGGACCCACACAATGATGGATCACAGAGGATTTTGCCCCAAAGCATTGAGATTAATGAGCTGAAATATAGGAGCTTTAAATTAAGAGCCATCTCTTCAAAAGGGGGAAACACCCTCCACCCAGAAACAAGAAGCAGGCAAATAACAGCCCAGTGTGCTGCTTTTAATTCATACATGAGAAGCACATACCGGTCCAGAGGAACAGCCATATGCATTTTAATGGGATATTAACCCACAGGAGGATACAAGGACTCAGCCTGTCTCATTTCACTGTTTCCCTTTCCGAGACACCCGAAGGAAGGGCCAAACACACCATGTAACACAGGTCCTGTCCCTCAAAGGAGGATTAAAATACATATCCCTCTACTTCAGCAATATGCAATACAGCATTAATTTTGCAAGCTGCTGACGTGTTAACAACAGCTATAGAGGATTAACTGGTTGCTTGGGACCATGGCAGAAACGCTCATTTCTCATGCAACACCGCATTTTCTTCCATTAGCACAATTCAAATGGCAGGAAAAGTGCCTTCAGGAGCCTTGATGTGATATCCTTCATAGAGAGGGCTGGGACCCTGTCGTGTCAGACCCCACTCACGACAACCACAGCACTACATGGAGTAGAAATCAACTTTTGCATGTTAAAAATACAGTTTTCCATGAGGGAGGAAAGGATGGGAGAGAAGGACATGAAACTTTTGTACCTACCTAGCAAACGGAGAAGCAGGAAAAGCACCCCCAAAGCGTAAGACTTGAGTTCGGGGCTCACGGTTCTG